TAATATAAATATTAACAATAAATAAGTTAAAACATTCTGGATTCGAAAACTAATAAATATTCTTTGCCATTGTTCAAGAGTCATTTGTATATTGTCTTGTTTACTTAACATAGCGATGGTAATTGTCCTAAAAAATTCATTCTTGGCCTAAGCTGACAAAGCGACAAGGCTCATCTTTGTGGCGTATAAACACTCTGCCAAATACGGGTTTTGAATTGAGGACACGAAATATTACTTTTCAGAATACATTTTAATGAAATCCCGATTATTTTAAGTATTTTATTACATTATGTTAGAACGAACTATTTTGATAAGTTAAGTTGTAAATGGTAAAACAAGTTATAGCAAATAGAAATATACAATGGTAGAATGAAACAGTGCACTTATTTGTAGAATCCTCTGGAACAAAATTATTTTCAGTAATTTGCCTCATAATGTGCAATTACCTCTTCTAAATTATGATTTATTAATATTCGAGTATTGTGGCCAAGTGCCTCTGCTGTCGCCTTACATTCACTCTCATACACACAGAATCCCTAACATTCACACTGCTGGCATCTAAAGTAGCCATTAGTTTAGGAGTAATGAAATTTTTGGTGTCACGCCTTGCAGCATTCTGTATTGATGTACGCTCGAAAGTCTCTCCTAAAATTTCACCAACTTTGATTTCTTCTGAACTTATAAATTCGTCATCTGAATCTACAGACGATGAAAGAGGCACATCAGAAGACGTAGAGGTTTGACACAGTCGCTTCTCTTCCCTCTTCTCTTCTTTTAATGTTCTTTATCTCGTTCTTTCTTCTTTATTTGCAGGATTTTGGTCTACTCCTGCAGGATAGCTTTTACGTCCTGGCTGGTCCTTTTGAGAGTAATATACCTGATATTCTTACTGTTTATTGAGATGTTAAATTGTTGCCTTCATTAAATATTAGCGACCTAAAAGAAGCAAGACTTCCAATAGCTGTTACTCTTGGAGACAATCAGCATCTCATTGGATTTCCAAAATTGCGGAATTTTTGTGGTAAGTTATGAAAGTAACAAACTAAATATGCATCTTACTGGGGCGATGAATTGAGCTCGATAGATGGCAAGAGCTACTTTAATGTTTAAAACGTTTCTGTAAAATCAGAATTTAAACTTCGTGGACTACAAAAGGTAGATGAGGGCGAAAGCAATTTCTGTTGTGTTAATAAAGAACATAGATCACCGAACCCGTATTGCAAGAAAGAAACACTAAAAAAAGTGCCCACAAGGAAAGTTAAAATCATAACACAGAATAAAGATTGAAAATAAATTAAATTGTATTATAAAATTATATTTTAAGAATATATCAGTAGCTTTCCACTGACTTAACTCAACAAAACCAATGACACGTAAATTTAAATATCTCAAGTCGGCACGGAATAATATCGGCCTATTGAGATTTTATTTTTAAGTTAATTTGTCCCAATGGAAAATATTTAGGGGCGAGCCCAAACAAAATTTGCAAAAATTTGTTGGAGGCAATATAAGGGACACCCTAATTAACATTTATGAAAAACCCCTTCATTCCTCTCTGGATCCGCCCCTGCCTAAACGTAGGTCATCTAACACACAAAATATGACAAAGATAGAAATAGTGCAGCGTAAATAATCTCCTTTTAGCATTTAAATCTAGAATGGTATATTATTCTTAATTTCGCGTATACTTAGTATAAAGAACTTTAAGTAATCCCGAAAAACTCGATGTCGAGATTTTTATGGAAATAGATGTTTTCGAGTCCCCTGATATCCAAAAAAACTTTATTTTTCAAAACATCAGTCCGTTTGTCCATCTTACTCCATTTTTTTACTCGATTGGACCAAATTTTGTTTATAGAAAGGGCGATTGTTCGATTGTCAGAAAAACGTCTTAAAGTACTATAATAGCAAAAGTTACGTTTTTCTGACGATGATGAATTACATCTATTTTTCAAAATTAGATCTTTGAATAATGTCATGTACATTTTTTTTAAATACAATAATTTTCACCTAATATTTAATGAATTCACGACAAATTAAAAAAAAAACTTTTTCGTTCGAATAGAGGAAAGGTTCGCTTAGAATACGATATACGCCCCATTTTCACGAAAATGTCGGGGATTTCAATATTGGCAAAGAGTTCATATTTTTCTACACCCTTGTTCAACTGCATTTTTAAATATGATGGTTTCTTTCTTATTACAATTTTTTCTCAATATTAGATCTTTAAATAATTGCATGTATGCTTTGTCAAATTATTTGTATCTTGCCATAATTTTGAGTTATATCATTTGCGTTTTTCAAGCGCGAAAAAACAAAAAACAATTTACATACACTCCCAAAGTTCCTCACCTCCATGTACAACGAATTTTGCCCATTATTTTTCCTCCGACCAATCTTTGAAATTCCGTCCCATATGGCACCCCGGCTGTGCAGCCCTGGCACCGCGCCGCTCACGGCGTACGCACACTTGTGAGTAGGCGTGGGAGAGGAAAGCGTGTCAAGGCTGGTGCGTCACCGCCTCAGGGACCCTCGCTACGCTGTATGGCGCTCAGCTACGAGTAATTACTCTCGCCTCCATGATAGGTCCGTAGCGTCGTCCGGGGGCATCGTTGCCAACGCCTGTGGCGCACTCCTAAGCGGGCTAGAAAAGGGAATGACGATAAAACTATGGTTTTTTTAAATATATATATATATATATATGAGTAATTTTTCAATCAATATTTCGGAGTAGACATTTAAAAAAAATCTTATATACTATTCCAGTATGTAGAAAACTAATGGTTCTAACAGCATAAAATATACTTTCTCACGTAAATAATTTACTTCATATAGGAACGAGTTTTATCCGCTTTTTCCAAGTCGGGGCCCCGCAATACCCAGTTTTACTGTCCAAAATCGTTGATTTTTGCCCCAGCATTTCAATACTTTCTCTTTACTGCGCATACAGTAGACGGATAAAATAAAAAAAACGGATACCAATCTAGAGATACTGAATAAATACATTCTAAGTGTAGAACGCTATATTAATACAGTCTACAAATCAGAATTTCATTATTTATTGCATTATAATTGCATTGTGAATCTGTCGTGATCCACAGATTTCTTGTGTGTTTTTACTATGTATTTTGCAGGGTAATCATAGGGTGTACGTAATTCTAAGATAACTTTTTTTTGAATTCTTAATTTGTATTGTAGAGAACTTGTCCATACCTCAAGACGAAATGGAAAAAAATAGTACAACGAAATGATGGTATTTTATAATGAACAATTTTGGCGTAAATAAACGAACAAGTGCTGTCTTAATCCTATAAAATAACCGACTATGTCCCATATGCATAAAACTCGAAGTAAGCATGGATTGCATCACAATTTATAAGAAACCATCCATACAAACTACTGCAAGTGTGCTATTGCTGAATAGGGAATTACCTCCAGCCCATCCAACAGACTGAGGATGGAAAAAAAATGTTTGAACACCGTATTTTTTTAATATTCTTACCTAAATATTCAATAGGACAATATAATACATTTCGAAAAAAAGAGCATATGCTCTTCACGTTTGCCTTCGTTGCCGAACCTCTTTCGTGTGCCATGCGAACGGATGGAAAACTATCAGCGTTCACATACCATCGCTTGCTCAATGTGGAATCTCAAAGGACCAGTATTTTTTTTTCGTATTACACAAGATTCCGCATTATACAATCTAATACTATTGAATTTCATGTTTGACAGGACACCACACATGATGTTTACGTTAGACAGATTTCCACATTACACACGTTGCGCGTTGAGCAAAATTTTACAGTATAAAGTGAATTTTATCCCTAGCAATAGCTGGGTGAACTTTTTGAAACAAGTGTTCACACCACTGCAGGGCTCATGGCAAGCATGTCGCCAGAGCTTGCTGAAAAGCAGTAAGGAAACCGGCAACACACGCAAATTTGCTTCCGCAAGCGACTTGGGGAGCAATTTCTTGTTAGTATAAAGCTAGCATTAGAAAAATACTTTTTACTGATACACTTGCTTATTTGCCTTCCCTACGTATCTCTGTATTCGCTGCATAACTTATCTCGATCGAGAAGATTGTGTTTACGAGGGAAACATGAACCGTTTAATAATACAGTGAGCCCTCAAAGCCCGCAATTCAGGCGGGTTCAGGTAAAAGAGGACCTATTTTTACGGGATATTTTTATTATTTAAGGTACTAACACTACTTGTGTTTGCTGTCCACTTTTATAAGGGGAGACCCGGATAAAAGTTTTGCGGACAGCCCGCAGTTATTTCCATACCTACTGTACTACACGTTATCTTATAGAGGATATCTTTATATTATCTTATAGATATTATCTTATATAGTTATCTTATATATGTAATGAGGGGGCAATATGAAACTAAAGCCAGACTACGTAACAGGGTTAAGTAAATACATCATAATTAAAATTGAATAAAAAATAAACTTGTCTGTAACACGGGTGGTTACCGATTATGCTCTATGGCGCCAAAAATTCTTTTGTCTTCTTGTCGCCTGTACCATTACATTCCTTATAATGTCCTCGGTACATAAATAACACTGGTGTCAAATAATGAACATTAGATAGAAATTATAAAATGTGGGCGTGGCAATTTGGAATAAACTTAATTCACACTTGATTCGGAGTACCTCAGACTTTCGTCCTATGCGTTCTTAACTTCGAGATCTAAAATACTTTTCCTGTATTTTAGGACTTGAAATTTAAAGCAATCTCACAAAAGGGCCTAGGGCACTAGTGTAAGGTCTTGTTACTTCTTACGAATAAGAGTCTAACAAACTACTTGAAATATGGTAATTTTGTTCCAGTGGCGTGGACTGTGGAAGTACATAAGGAAGCCGGCTGTAAGGTTAGGAAAAATGAAAAAGAATATTGTATAACGTTCAGTTTAATAAAGGAAAGTGGGAAAGAAGTACCTGAAAAATTTAAAAGGAAATTATTTGCTCATAAAATAAATCAGCAGAGAAAATTGTTGAAATAAACTTTTATTATGAACTTTAGATTGTCACAAAGTAATGAACATTTTAGTACGAAAAAAAAAGAAAAATAGAATGTTAGTCACATAGAATTTAATTAAAACTAAACTTAGAGCAGAAACGAAATATGAATATAATTTTTTGTAATGAAATGTAAAAGTTTATATGCCCTTCCAAATACGAAAAATTTCAAAAGTAAAATCCTCGTTCACCATATACTAGCATGCTAAAATTTGTGTTTTATTTTACTGAAGTGCGGCGTCTACATCAGCGCAGATATTAATTTTTCAACTCATCCCGAACATGCAAGGTGGTGTCCGTTTAACATTAATTGCCCTCGCATTGTTGCCGGGCGGAGTGGAGCGCAATGGCGTTACCACATTTACGCCTTCGGCGCGACCAGGATGTCGCCCTTGGGAGTAATCTATGGTCGCTCGCCTGAGGAGGTTGTAATGAAGCAAGAGGCTAATATAACGTCGTCATCCCTAGAGAATGCAACTGCGACTTCTCAGAAAATCCAACGGAGGAGCGGAATATGTACATTTGGTAGAGGTCCTCTATGTCCGTGTTTGAAATAAAAGGTGTGGGGGTAGGGGTAGGCACAGGCGTTGGGAGGAGCTGAGTTAATATTCAAAAGAAAGCACTGAAAGCCAAATATTTGTTTTGAATACACTCTGAAGGAACACTGGCTCCAGGGTAGCCACAAAGCAATTAAAATTTCAGTTTAAAAAATAAATAAAACTTTATAAGCAACACGTCATTATCAAAATTGGGCGAATATCCCGGGAATTACCATAAATACGAATATTTCTAATAAAGAACGTTAAAACGTTTTTCAACTAAAATTTAAGTTCCAGAAGAGTCCCCGTGCATGTTGTAAACACTCTTCAGGATTGAGAAAAACTGAGACAAAAGGCAGAATCCGCTGTTTTGAAGGAGGAAGGTAGAAAAAGGTAGGGAAAAAAAATTAAAGAATTTTCTAGGAAATTTTTAATTAAGGAAAAAAGTTTTAACTAAACAAACTTATCATTAATACTAGGAAAGAAATCATTTGACATTCCAGTTAAAAACTAACAAAAAATCTACAAATTTAGGGAAACTATGTTTCATCATAAAACTAGTGTTAATATTTCAAAAAATAAACAAATATACGCATTAAATTGAGTGTCTAAATTTTGTTAATTGCTAAAAGTCAAACTTTGATGCGAAAAATTGAATAACTGGACTAAGATACAATTGCCATCTCCCTTTAGTATTTTTAAATTATTTTTTTTATTTCTTTCTTTAAGAGTTCTTGGACATTATATGCCCCTCCATATCTCAAGAATTGAAAAAAAATATCGGGAAATTAGTTGATCTTTTAGTGTTCAAAAGTATTTGTTTCACAGAATTGAAACGCGGCGACTACACACGTGCCGGCAGCGGTTTGTGCATCTCGAGCCGTACAAGCAAGGTGGTGCATGCCGAACAATAACAACTGGCCTTGCGTCGTCGCCTGGTGGACTGGAGCGCACTGGTGTTCTCGGGTTGACGTGCTCTGCGCGACCCGTGAAGCGTCGCCCTTGGGAGCGATTGTCCGCCAGAGACTGCTGCACCGGCGGAGTAGATGGTCTATACAAGGTAATTCGCCTCGAGGCTAAATCTGCGATTTCTCGCAGAACATCTATAGGAGACGAAGCGGCAGATGCACGATTGGTAGACGCTCTTGATGTGGCGCCAGCGCCGATGCTATTGGCAATATTAGGTGTACGGGCAGGCGAAGGTGTTGGGGGGATTTGCCTGCAAATATCTCGCAAAGGAATGCAGGGAAAGCCGAAGATCTTTGTGCGGCATACTGGACATGTTCGCAAATTCGGCAGGCACAGGTCACAGACTACGTGGCCGTTTTCACATGTCGCCAAGTCTGTGCGTATGGTCGTCAAACACACCGGACATTGGAGTAGACGGCGTACCTCCGAAATAAATGACATCCTGCGAAGAAGAGTACAAGGAAAAATGTACAGAACATTCTTTTACAAGGTTCATCGAGAAATTTGGAATGTCTATTTGGCAGGTCGTTGGAATTTTCTAAAGTAGAAAAAAAAAAATCTAGGGCGGACGACGTATGCAACCACAAGTGTAAATTTGGAGATACCATTTCTAAATTACAAACCGGTTCCAAATCACATTCACATTGCCGAATAAGTTACAAGAAAAATTGCTGAAAGTTTGAGAGGTTGAAGTAGTAAAAATGTGATATTGAAAATAACTAAAAACCAGTTCGGTAAGATGAATGTTATTTCAGAACAGTCGTCGAGTATTGTTTAGAAGAATATAATTGCACTCTAATGACTAAGACGGAATTTACATATCAAGTAATAAGTAAAAGCTTAAACTGTTTACAATTCTGCGAACTAGTCTGAAGTATTCTCAGGTGAAGTTCTGTTTTCACTATACATTTCACAGCATTTGATTAATATATTGAAATGATCCTAATATCCACTGAGCAATTTGTGTTAAACTAATAAATAATACCAAAACAGTCCAATTGAACTACGCGGTTGTGTTAAATGTCTTTTCAAAAGAAGAAAGAAACGTTGGAATACACGTAAAACACATACATTTATTTGAAAGAATTGACATACAATTCAATATAACATTTTACCTGCTAGTCCCACTTCCTCACAATTACGTCCAGCGTATTACTCATATTTCTTTTCACTGGAATGAAATTCTCTGCGTCTTGTATATATAGAATAACTTGGCCATGGCAGCAGCCAATCACGGAGGCGACGTTGCGAGTGTGTTCCTCCAGACGTTTGATCTCATCTCTCCGACAGAATGCGCTGCAGTCCCTCTTTTTCTGATCTGATATTCGCTGTAGCGGTTTTTCAATTTTCATCCATTTCTTCAGCGCAATAAAAAGTCGTTAGCCCAAATGTAAAAAACAAATATAATAATTCTCACAATAAATAATTGTAATAATAATAATAATAATAATAATAATAATAATATAATAATAATACTAATGATAATAATAATAATGATAATCATAATAATATAATGATAATATAATAATAATAATAATAATAATAATAATAATAATAATAATAATAATAATAATAATAATAAATAAGCCGCGACACGTTATAGTCAAACAATATTACGGTAATATCTTACAATGTTGAACACCAAATTACAGTTTTGATATAAATTGAGACTTTTTCTCTATTACATTAATTACTTTGTGCAAATGAGAGATTTTTGTTGTGATTCTATCATCGTTTTTAAAATTAGGATTGTTGTGTCGCTTGTAGGTGCAAGGGTGGCACAACACAAAAAAATACGAATTTTGAGTAAATGCACTATCTGGAATTGCGGATTGGTCTACTTTCCAGCCGCAACAGCAGAGTTTCTTACAGTGCAGTATTCCACCAACAAATGGCAGAAGTGTGAAAGAAAAGAGTGATGCTTTTCAATACAAGATAAAAACTTCAAACACATTTATCTCAACATCTGATTTTTTAAATTGTACCAATAATGGAGCCCAACGATAATGTTAGATCAGTTCTCATATCACTTGCGGTTGTAGTATTACTTTGCAGTTGCTATTCTCCGTCCAACGAGATAATGAAGTAGATGTAAACATAACGGAATATATCCCTCCGCCGAAGCGCGTGCTCCGAGCCCTCTGCTGTAATCGAACAGTAGTCAACGCTCTGCTGTCACCGCATCGCTCGCTGTGTTCTCCCACACGTTACACAATATCCTTCGGTCTATCGAAATCTGCAGCAAGCGCGAAACAAACTGACGATTGCAAGACTGGGATGAAATTGAGACATGCAAAGAAATAATTAATTCAACACCTGTATTAATGGTATGAATGAATAATTGTACATGTATGTAGAAGTTATGAATGAATAATATTACATTATTTTTTAATGTTAATAGTAATGTAATTGTATTGCCAATAAGACTTCGAATTCATGCACACAACGAAAATTGCTGGGAAGGAATGGAGATAATTTTCTGGAACCATCTCTTGAATACATCGCCAGTCATTTCTTGATGATAATCTCCTGTTTTTACTTTCCCGTATACGTGCATATATACAAAGTAATGAAAGTAGTATAGGGAAAGTTATGGAATGATGCGGGGAAATTGATTTCGAGTTTTTAACGGAAATACATGTTTTGGGTCCTCTGATATAGAAAACTATTTTTTTCCAAACGTCCATCCGTTTGTAACGAGAAAGTGGACATATCATGTTTCTACACGTAGTAAATTATTGTACTTCCCCTAACACGTTGTATAATGAGAACCCGTTTCCATTTTTGGTGAGGTTGTTCATCCTAAAATCCGTTCATCCGATTGCCGGCAAAAGTCTTTCTCCGTCCGTCCGTCCGTCCGTCCGTCCGTCCGTCCGTCCGTCCGTCCGTCCGTCCGTCCGTCCGTCCATCCGTCTGTCCGTCCGTCCGTCTGTCTGGTGTATGTGAACCACACTAGCACCTAAACCACGCGAAGGATTTTTTTCTATATTGAAGAAATCCCTGACCATTTAGCCACAGTCGAAGCTTTGCAATTTTGAAAATCATTAATTTATACATGAAGCCAAATTTTATCAAAATTGGCTCCAATTATTTTCTTTACATTTCTTATAAGAATAGACACGTATAAATGTGGCATAGGTCTGATTTTCACGGTTAACTATGAATTTTCGAAAATTTCAAAAATTTGAATTTTTTCGGGGTCTTCCTACAACAACAACATTAAAGATAGAGATTTTTCTTGAAATGAAATTTGTTGTCTATAATTAGTTCTTTCTTTGAAGACATGTACATTTTTTCTGAAAATTTAGTAGTTTTCGCGCACTATTGCGTGCAAATGTGCAATTTTAAAAAATTACAAAATTACAATTTTAAAAAATTACAGATAAATCTTCTCCAAAACTCAACCGTTTTTTGTGAAAAATAGCTCATAATTTCGAAATTACAGAAACGCTCAAACGCCATTTTCTCAATAACGGCTTTCTAACTAAAGTTCACTTTGGCGTATTTTTATTTAATTACGCAAAATTGTTTAAAAATATGTCTCACGCCATTAATTTGCATATTTTCAGCAATTTGTAAACACAATTGAATTTGTGAGTTAATGTGATTCAAATGACTTCCAATGAAGTTTTTATAAAACTCAAAAGTTTCTTCTGAAAAAGTGCTTCAAATTTCGAATATACTGTTGCGCTTAAGCGCTATTTTCTTAAAAACGGCTGCAATATTTTTTTAAGAAAATTGCCATTTAGGACGCTGTTTTACTGTTCTTTAATTTTCTTAAAATAATATTTCTTTTCTATTATTAGTAAACTGAAAAAATAAGGAAATTTCAAAAAATGTATTTTGGGCGGCGATAGATGGCACTAGGAAAGATTATGAGACAAGTTCAAATAGCTAGTCGAGACCAAAGGAAATAGAAAACTACTAGGGAAAAGTCTGTGCCATTCTGTAGCACAACTAGTAGTTTTTTTTGGATTGAAACACAAGCTCACCACCATCCAAAAAACTATCATCACTACCTATATGCAGGATAATAAGTTTTTTTATCTTTCCCAGATGGATTTTTCAAACCTGTGCTTAAGCCTGATAAGAAAGCCTGTTTTTTTTAGATTTTACAGATTTGTCACTCCATGCTTTTGGTGTCACGTGCTCCTTGTCAACCCACGTCTCGTCTAAAAAATAAATTTTCCGCCCTTGCTGCCAGAATTCTCTCATTTTTCGGAAATGTTTAGTACGCCACAAACTAATATCATCTCGATCTTCTATCACACTTTTCATTCTATGAATAAATTCAAATCCTATATCCAGTAGCACAGAATGGAGTGATGATCTCTTTAAATTTTGCACATCAGGGTAATTTTTTACATCTGGAAAAATCGTGCTCTTTTCGACGAATTACTAACCTAACAAATTCATCGCACCTAACATCTAACACAAGTCTGAGGTGTTTTTTCTTTATTTTGGGAGTGGTTACCTTACCTGCTGACAGTTTTTCCTTTCTTATGCTGTAAATACTTGTGGCACCAAACCCAGTTATTTCTGCCGTTAATTTCACAATGTCATCAACTGCCAGTTCCGGGTGTGTCTTGCGTAAGGAATTGAACACATTTAAAATACTAGTTTTCTCACTTCTTTAAATCGGTTTTCCCCGTGGATGATTAATAATACTAGACTGTGTCGGTGATAAAGGCCAGTGTTCTGCCATGACACTTATCTTTGTACATCACTGCACATCTAAGACTGATTAAATTGTACACACAACTCTTAGCAATCGATCTTGATGCTGCTGCATTGCACAAGTCACATTCATTCACAGCCATTAGCATTAATGAGCTCAAAACTTATATATCATTGTACTATATACACACGTGTTGCGCGATCTGCCATTAGAAGGAAACTGCTTCTCCAGTCATACGTGCCATCGGATTATTTTCGCTTGTCCCATTTCGCATTTGTTCGCATTTCGCATTTGTTCGCATTTCACGATAAACTCATATAATTTAAAATAAATAAAAACTTATGTATCTCCTTTTTACGTATGAGTACGCGTCTTCTATTGTATATAACATACAGTTACTTGAAATTACGGAACTATTTTTCTTACACGTAGGTTTAAGAAAGTGCGAGGAAGAGTGTGTACCGTGGACTTGCAGCCAATCAGCGATTGCATACCCAAGTGCATTTGTTAACATCCACTTCGTTCTCTCCTTGGACAAGGAATAAAAGTTATTTCAAAAAACAGATTTGCAATAGTAAATTATGCCAATAGCTTGCGTATTCATTTTAGACAATTGAAACATTTATTTCTGAAATCAGTCAAGCCCGAAACGTATGGTCGAATACTTCTGAAAGACAATTTTTTGTTCAATAACAAAAACACGCATTTTTTCTTCAGTGGCAATTACACTATGTAACGCATTCTCGAAAATGGTCGGTTTCTGATTTGACATTATTGATTTCTGTTTAATGGAGCAGCAAGTTTAAAGAAAATATTTGTTATATTTCTGAATCTTTGTTTTTGTTGCCGTCCGATATTTACATAACGGCCAACTTCTGAATTTTTTCTCTTGTATTGGTACCAACTTGTTCATAGTTTTTTTTGTTTTTTTTTGCAATCACGAAAACGTGTTATTTGAATACAAATTACTGTGTGCTTAATAAGTTTGATACTAATCAAGATTTCTTTTAAAAGAAATAACAATGTTTCCATATGTTTCGTCAAAGAAGATGAACTTTGCTAATGTCATGAGGTAACTGGTTTGTCCGAGAACAATGATATATCGTCATCCTAGTGAATGGCCGGTGTTAACATACAGTTCATCAGCCAGAAAGCAGTTTTACATCATTACGGTAACCAGTTTCGGTATATTTCCCTTACCCATTGAGCACAGCTTACAGAAGAATACCGCGATGTGAGGAGATTGCTAAATGCACTGAAATATGAAGAAAATGGCTGCGAAGTTATTGGCGACTTCAAAATGATTGCCTTCTTGGCAGGTTTTCAAGAAGGGTTTACAAAGTGCAAAGAAGATATCAGGGAACTAAAGCACACTACCATATACGATATTGGCCTAAACGTACTGAGTTCACTGTAAGGAATTACAACATTAAATGGGAGCCAATTGTCGACCCTCGAAAGGTATTAATGCCACCTTTCCACATAAATATGGGGCTG